GCAGTTGGTCTTCTGTTCCCCCATGGCCCTCCATGGGCTGCAGGGGGACAGCCTGCCTCATCATGGTCTTCACCACAGGCTGCAGGGGAATCTCTGCTCCGGCGCCTGGAGCACCTTCTGCCTCTCCTTCTTCCCTGACCTTGGTGTCTGCAGAGTTGTTTTTCTTACATCTTCTCACTCCTCTCTCTAGCTGCTAAGTGTGAAGTTTTTTTTTCCTCTCTTCTCTTTTTTTTCTTAATTCTGTTATCACAGAGGCGTTACTGATTGGCTCAGCCTTGGCCAGCGGTGGGTCCATTCTTGGAGCTGTCTGGCATTGGCTATGTCGGGTCAGACATGGGGGAAGCTTCTGGCAGCTTCTCTCACAGAAGTCCCCCCTATGTCCTCCCCCCCACTACCAAAACCTTGCCACGCAAACCCAATACAGCTTAGAACACTGAATATTGTCTCTTTTTACTCTGCAAGTTTAGTGTAGTTTGGATAAGTTCAAGAACTGGTATGAGAAAAAGCAGAGAGAAGGCTTGCATTAGAAGTAATTCATTTATGGCTGAAACATCTGTGCCTAAAAAACTACCAAAACCATGTTTGGTCATGACATCTGGACAGCATGAATGACTCGGATTAAGTCTTTCTGTTGAGTACAGCTGTTGAAAAGGTGAAATCTTGGCCCAGCAAACGTTAATGAGAGTTTTGCTGTTTTCTTCCTCAGGCTGAGGAATTAAAACTGAAGTCTGCAAGGTCTTACACTGACTTCCTTCACTGTTACAACCGTCAGGGAGCACATACAGAAAGCAAAGTTAAGGAGAGAAAAAAAAAAAGTGTCAGAACTTTCAGTCAGAACTGAACTACTTTCAATGGGCATTATGATGTAGTATTTGGTGATCGTTCATAAATTGAGAATTTTATTTGTAGAATTTTTAAACGTCAAACATTAATATCTCTATTTTTAGACTTCATGAGTTTGAAGAAGCTGTGAGGTCATTTGACCAGGTTCTCAAACTAGATCCTGTTTCTGTGGATGCTTATGTTGGACGAGGAAATTCATACATGGAGAACGGACATGAAACTGGATGTAAGCAAGCACAGAAAGACTTCTTGAGAGCAATTCACCTGAATCCAGAGTGTATAAAAGCCAGAATTTGCTTAGGATACAACTTGCAGGTAACACATCAAAATTAGTTGTCAATGTTATGTTTAATTGAACAAAATAACATCAATCTTATATGCATACAGTTATATAATCCATAAAATAATCCATGTGCTTAAGACAAGCCTTATGGCATCTTCTTTCTTTTTCAGTAAATGGATAGACCATTATTTTCTTTTCACATTTGTGCCCAGTCTTGTTGAAGTTCTGCTGTTGAATAATGAAATATCAATTAACCTTACACTCATTTGATTTGCATATATGATTCTCTGATAAACTAACATTAAGAACTGGCATGTTTTGTGTGTATGAGCTGTTTACTGAAGTAAAAAGCAACCAAAATGTTGACAAATCTGTGTAAAACAAAATCTTGTATGTCCTAATTATCCAAACTACACTGTGAGCAAATCTGCTAAAATCCCTTGTTAAAGGCCTTATATATAGTGATCTCTGAAAACTACTTAACTACGTAGAAAATGAACTTCTGTATTAGCAAAGGGATATATTATATGACTTGACAGTTTTTGTCTGTGTCTAATTTCTGTCATTTAGTTACTGGGCTTTATTATATCCAGTTGTCTGAAAGGTCTTGAATTGTCATGAATCTTGTTGTGAATTATTTTTTGACAATGTAGATGAGGGACTAATGTTACTAGCCTGTGTCAGGTGGTCTTGCATAGGTGTCAGGCAAATTTCCCTTTACAGCTTTGCCAATACACTTAAATTCTAACTAATGCTTTCACCGTGCTTTGGGAAGTACTGTGCAAGAGGAAAACCTGGAATGACTACATGAGCAAGTAAGTAGGAATTAGATATTTCAGGTGCAGGAGACAACCCAGAAAGTTCACATAGTGTCAGGTGCTTAATTTCTGAGAGGCTTAAATTTCACTAGGTGCCTTCTCTTTAGCCTGATACTTTTTGGGACTCGTGGAGAATTATTTTGATGTGGGGAATGATATAATTAGCTTTCCACCTTTGCTTAATTAATCCATATATTAGGTAAAATGTTTGCATTTTTCCTGTTGTCCTAAGTGGTCTGCTTGCCCAGAATTAAGCTCTTTCTTGACTGTGCTAAGTCCTTCATGAGGTACAATATGCCAAAGTTCCATTTGACCATCCAGGGGAGGTAATTTTGCTAAGCAACCTAGTGATTTAATTTTATTGCTGTGTGAAGTCCTATACATAAATCTTCAGGTCACAAGCTCATATATAGCCCATCTGGAGTTGAATCTGGTTAGGGATGTGAAGGGCAACAAGAAAGGCTTCTACAAAGAAGAAAATTAGGGAAAATACGGGCCTGCTGCTGAATGTGACTGGGAATCTGGTGACAAAAGACATGCAGAAGGCTGAGGTACTCAATGCCTTCTTCACCTTGATCTTTACTGGTAAAACTGGCTTTCAGGAATCCTAAGTCCCTGTGGACAGTGGAAAAGTCCAGAGCAAGGAGAACTTACCTTTGGTGGAAGAGGATTAGGTTAGAGAACAATTAAACAAAATGGACGTACACAAGGCTATGGGACCTAATGGAATACATCCACGAGTGCTGAGGAGCTAGCCAACATCACTTCACGGCCACTTCACTTATCTTTGAAAGGTTATGGCAATTGGTAGATGTTCCTGAAGACTGGAATAAAGTAAATGTCACTCCTGTCCTCAAGAATAGGCAAGAAGTAGGATCTGGGGAATGACAGGCAGGTCAGCCTCACTTCAATCCCTAGAAGAGTCATGAAGCAAATAGTTCTGGAAACTATTTTTAAACACATGAAAGTAAAGAAGGTAACTGGGAGTAGTCAGTATGAATTTGTGAAGGAGATATCATGCTTAACCAACATGATAGCTGTCTGTGATGAGATACCTAGCTTGGTGGATGAGAAAGGTGCAGGGAATGTTTTTTATCTTGAATGTTTTTTTATCTTGTTTTTTATCTTTTTTTTTATCAAAGCTTTCAGTAGTCGCTCATAAGGTGTTCCTAGAAAACCTGGTGAAGTATGGGCTAGATAAGCGGACGGTGAGGTGAACTGAAAACTAATTGTTCTGTCAGGCTCAAAAAGTCATTATTAGTGCCATAAAGTCCAGCTGGAGGCCATCACTAGTGAAATACCCAAGGGATCGGTAATGGGTCCATCTTCATTAATGACCTAGATGGTGGGGGTAGAGTGCACCTTCAGCAAGATTGCAAATGATACAAAATTGGGAGGAGTGGTTGATACACCAAATGGTTGTGCTGCCATTTAGAGGGATGATGGGCTAAACAGGCTGGAGAAATGGCAGACAGGAACCTCATGAAATACAATAATGGGAAGTGAGAAGGTCTGCATCTAGAGAGGAATAACCTCATGCACCAGGCTGGGTGCTGACTGGCTCAAAAGTAGCTTTGCAGAAAAGAACTGAGAGGTCCAGATGGAAAACAAGCTGAAGATTAGCCAGTGAGTTGTCCCTGCAGTAAAGGCCAAAGTCACCCTGGGCTGTATTAGGAGCAACATTGCCGGAAGGTTGAGGGAGATGATCCTTCTCCTGTACTCAGTACTGATGAGGCCACATCTGGAGTGCTGTGTCCAGTTCTGGGCTCTTCAGTACAAGACAGACATAAACATACTGATGCTCATCCAGCAAAGGGCCACTAAGATGATAAGGAGCTTGAAGCATATGTCATACAAGGAGAAGGGAGAGAGACGTGAAGGCTCAATGGGGAAATATTATAAATGGGTATAAACATCTGATGGAGGAGTGCAAAGAAAATGGATCCAGGCTCTTCTTAGTGGTGCCCAATGGTAGGACAAGGGGCAATGGGTGTGAGCTGGAACACAGGAGGTTCCACTTAAACTTGAGAAAAAACTTCTTTACTGTGAGGGTGACAGAGCACTGGAACAGGCTGCCCAGGGAGGGTGTGGAGTCTCCTTCTCTGGAGACATTCAAGACCCGCCTGGACACCTTCCTGTGTAATTTTGTTTAGGTTCCTGCTCCAGCAGGGGGATTGGACTAGATGATCTTTTGAGGTCCCTTCCAATCCCTAATATTCTGTGATTCTGTGCCCAGTGACAGGACAGGAAACAATGAGCATAGACTGAAATACAGGAAATTCCATTTAAACATTGGATACTTTTTTTTTTTTCTCCTGTGAGGGTGAACACTGGAACAGATTGTGCACAGAGGTTGTGGAGTCTCCATTCTTGGAGTTGTTCAAAAGCTTAACTGTCCATGGTCTTAGTTAACCTGCTCTAGCTGACCCTGCTTCAAGCAGGGGGTTAACCTAGATGATCTCCAGGGATCCCTTCCAAACTCAACCATTCTGTGATTCTGTAATATAGAAGAGGTAATGCTTGCAGTTAAAACCATTGTGGCAGGTATGTTACATAGTTGCAAAGACAATGAGTATTGCATAATTAACAAGATATTTGAATTATTTTTTCTCTTAGTTAACTGCATTTGTAAATATTAGCATGCTTCCATTCTCTGCTGTAATTTTTTTTAAGTGGGGCCATTCATATGGTTGGCATTTCTTATGTTTCTTACTGTATTTACATTGCAATTAATTTTAGGCCCTTGGAAAGCTTAAGAAAGCTTGGAGTCAATTTACAGTTGCCATTTGCATTGATCCAAAATGCCATGCTGCGTATGATGGACGAGCTTCTGTCTGTCTTCAAATGGGTGAAACATTTGCTGCATTTCAAGATACAAATGCTGCATTAAAGGTAGATGTTAGCTTCAAGTGATTTTACTAAAATCAGCCTATTGCTATGAAGCCAGACAGTACTGTATATGAACAGTTTCCAATTTGGATTAGAAGGTGCAATTCGTTTTTTTAAAAAGTAAATATATCTTTGAAAAACAGAATAAATTGCTGTAGAAGTGTGAATTTTCCCTGAGTAAGAATGTATCTTCTATTTCCTTTCAGCTCCATGCCACTGCTCCACTGCTAACAAATCGAGGTGTCATCAGTCAGTTAATGGGATATCTACCCTGTGCCATGAAGGACTATAAACAAGCAATTTCTGTTGACCCCAACTATGCATTAGCCTATTTCAATGCAGCAAATATCTACTTCCATAATCGACAGTTTTCACAGGTAAGTCTACAGTTTGTCTTCACACTCTGTTCAGAACTTTTTTCTTGAATAAATACTGTTTGTATAAAGCTGTCTTTAAGTATACTTAACATGAAGCTTTCTTGCATTGAATTTCATGTTCCTATACCCGGAGATTAATTAATTTGTGGTAATTAATAATAAGTAATTACCCTATGTATTTTATCATTGATATGAATGAACTAAGATTCATGATAGCTAGGACAGAAGTCACAAAAATTTTTAGATAAATGAGGTACCAAAATCCCACTGATGTTCAGTAACTCCTTTCCCAGTCCATCTCCCATACATTAAATAACTTGCCCAGATTCACTATAGCCCCATGATGGGGAGAGCGAAAAGAATCTCCCACTGATGAACTTTAATAACAAAGTAGATCTTCCTCCTGTTACCACAGTAACTTCAGAGTTTTAAATCACCTAATTCTGCTTAAATACAGTGAGTATCTTCAAATACAGAAGAGCTGGGTTCTAAAATTCCTCTTGTGAATTTGAAAACTGCTTTATGGCAAGGACCATTCATTTTCCTCTCTGTGAGGAGGACCCTGAGATGATTTTTCCTTTGGTCTTCCAGTCATACTTCCAGGGCATAGGTACAGGCTTTTATTTGATTGGAGCTTTGTGGTCCAGCAGCTGTAGAAACCCAGAACCAGCATGGATGCTTCATCACATTTCATCTACTTGAATTAATCATCTCCTAGAGTTGCATCTGTAAACACTTCAGTTTGCAGTTCACTTATTGAGGAATTAATCATGTATAGTAGTACATGCTGGGCATATGATTTTAAACCTGGATAGTTTGTACTTCATACAGCACAAGAAATAGATTGTGTAAGACAACAGTTTCATGTTCTTGTGCAGAGTCATAGAGTATCTCAAGTTTGAAAGGACCCATAAGGGTCATCAAGTTCAACTCCCTGCTCCTTGGAGGACTGCCTAAAACTAAACCATGTGACTAAGAACATCATTCAGGTGCTCCTTGAACTGTGACAGGCTAGATGCTGTGATCACTTCCCTGGGGAGCCTGTTCCAGTGACTGACCACCCTCTCAGTGAAGAACCTTTTCCTAGTGTCCAGTCTCAGCTTCCGCTGTTGCAGCTTCATTCCATTTCCTCATGTCCTTTCGCTGGTCACTAGAGAGAGAACAGCACCTTATCTGCTGCCCACCTTGAGGAAGTTGTATACCGCAGTGAGGTCACCCCTCAGCCTTCTTCAAGCTGAACAAACCATGCAGCCTCAGCCATTCTTTGTAAGTATTGCTCTCAAGGCTTTTCACCATCTTGGTTGCCCTCCTGTGGACACACTCTAATAGTCTGATGTCCTTCTTATATTGAGATACCCAAAACTGAACACAATACTGAGGTGGGAATGCACCAAAGTGGTGTAGAGTGGGACAATAACCTCCCTTGACTGGCTGTCTCTGCTGTGCTTGGTGCACCCCAGGACACAGTTGGCCCTTTTGGCTTCCAGGGCACACTGTTGACTCATATTCAACTTGCCATCAACCTAAACCCCCAGATCTCTTTCCTGCAGGGCTGCTTTCCAACCTCTTGTCCCCCAGTGTGTACATATAACCAGGAGAATCCAGCACTTGCTCTTCTTAAATTTCATATAGCTGGTGACTGCCTGGGTCTCTAGTCTATCCAGATTTTTTTGTAAGGCCTCTCTACCCTCAAGGGAGTCCACAGCTCTCTGAGTTACATTCCTTATTGCTCTTGAGCATTAGTTAGACTTGGATCAGAAATTCCTTAGGAGTTCAAGGTCAGTGCCCTGAATATGGCTTCTCCTGTGATCATGTAATCTCTTTTCTTATGCACCTAGTATCATTCTTCCATGATTGGTCTTGCATAGGCTGTTCTTCATCTCAACTGTATTTCTGTGACTCCTTACTCTGTCTCACAGAAGTTGTCTGATTTTGAAGAAAGAAGTTCAAGAATAGATGTTGCATTATAAACTATTTCATATGTTTGTTCAAATTTGCCTTAGTGTGTAGCTAATTTCTTCTGTGCTGTAATTACAATTCAGGGTAAACAGCTGTTCTTTTTTCAAAAGTGTCTGGATGGCGATTGACCTATTTGTGGATAAACATGCTAGTGCTGTGCCTCTTTTCTATGCACAAAGAACGTTAAACAGAATGAGTAAAGACTTAAAAACATTAAAGGCTTAAAGAAACAAACTGGAATTTACAAGTTGTACATAAGCCATTTCCTCAGATTTTAAGTGTACTTTGTCTCCAATTCATATGTTTTGTAGGCCTATTGCTATTATTCCAAGGTATTACAACTTGACCCAAGAAATGAATCCGCTATTATGAATCGTGCTATTACAAATACATTACTAAACAATACCGAAGAAGCAAAAGAAGATTTTGAGAAGGCAATTTCTCTCTGCCCATTCTCTGCAGCAGTGTATTTTAACAGGGCCAATTTCTATAATGGATTAAAGCAATATGAACTAGCTGAGAAAGACATTTCAACAGGTAATCTTTATGATCATGTTTGGTAGCATACTAACAATTATGATAACAAATTAATTGGCTTTATTTCATAAGTCAGAAAGTATGTGTGTATATTTGCTAGCATATTTTCTACCTAATTTGATCAGATATTATTATGTGATTAAAAATAAGATGTTAATTAATTGTGGGTTTTTTTGATAATGAATTCTCAAAATTGAAAGCATATGTAAATTAGAATATAAACTGTTTCATTAGCACAGTAACAGAGCCCCATTCTAAATGAAATTATGGCAAGAAGTTGTATGAAAATACTATACTTCCCAAGTATGAAAAATTTTTGAGGTTTTTTTTGTGTGTGTATGTGTTGAGGTATCTAGGTGCCTAGAAATCAGCATTCAGGTAGCTTATTTGATATATAAACATGAAATTTAATGAATGTGCTCTTTGTAGAATAATTTTTGAAACAGTATTTGGCTTCCAGAGGCCTTTTTGTTGGGCATAGACATGCTCCATAGAGCTGAATCAAAGTTCATCCAGACCTTAGTGAAAAACAAATCTTTTGTTCAGTTTCAAAACAGCTCAGCTCTGTTACTCCACTGCTACTTCTGTCATTGCTATTAACATGAAATTCAGCAACTCTGGGTACAGCCAAATTCCTCCCAGTAACTAAAGCTATGATTAGTTGGTATTAATTTTATAACAATGTGGACATTGTCTACCTAGACTTTAGTAAAGCCTTTGACACCATTTCCCACAGCATTCTCCTGGAGAGAGCCTGTTCAAGGCTTGGATGGATGCCCTCTTTGCTGGGTGAAAAACTGACTGGCTGGCTAAGCCCAAATAGTTGTGGTGAATGGAGTTAAATACAGTTGGTGGCCAATCACAAGTGATCTTCTCCAGGGCTCAGTGTTGGGGCCAGATCTGTTTAATATCTTTATCAATGATCTGGATGGGGGAATGGAGTGCACCCTCAGTAAGTTTGCAGACAACACCAAATTGGACAGAAGTGTTGATCTACTTGAGGGCAGAAAGGCTCTGCAGAGGGATCTATACAGACTGGATTGATGGGCCGAGGCTAACTGTATGAGGTTCAACAAGGCCAAGTGCTGCGTCCTGCGCTTGGGTCACAACAACCCTTGGCAACACTACAGGCTCGGGGAAGAGTGGCTGGAAAGCTGCCTGGTGGAAAAGACCTGAGAGTGGTGGTCGACAGACAGCTGAATATGAGCCAGCAGTGTTGCTTGTATCAGAAATAGTGTGGCCAGCAGGACTAGGGAAGTGATTGTCCCTTTGTACTCAGCACTGGTGAGGCCACACCTCAAGTACTGTGTTCTGTTTTGGGCCCTCACTACAAGAAAGATATTGAGGTGCTGGAGTGTGTCCAAAGAAGAGCAATGAAGCTGGTGAAGGGTCTGGAGCATATGTCTTATAAGGAGTGAGGGAACTGAGGTTGTTTAGTCCAGAGAAAAGGAAGCTGAGGGGAGACCTTATCACTCTTTACAGCTACCTGAAAGGAGGTTGTAACGAGGTGGGTGTCGGTCTCTTCTCCCAAGTAACAAGCAATAGGACAAGAAGAAATGGCCTCAAGTTGCACCAGGGGAAGTACTGATTGGTTATTAGGAAAAATTTCTTCACAGAAAGGGTTATCAAGTGTTGGAACAGGCTACCCAAGGAAGTGGTTGAGTCACTATCCCTGGAGGTATTTAAAAGATGCGTAGATGTGACACTTAGGGACATGGTTTAGTGGTGGACTTGGCAGTGCTAGGTTTACAGTTGGACTCAATGATCTTAAAGGTCTTTTCCAGCCTCTGTGATTCTATAAAACAAAACTTAGTAATGTGACTTTGATTTGACAACACTTGTACAGGTAATGATCTTTCCAGAAAGAATAACTCCTTAGATTTATTTATTTTTTTTTTTTTTTTACTTTGAGAAATCAGTTTACTTTTACAGTGAAATTTCTCAAAACAGTATTTTTACTTTGTGGCTTTCATGACTAATGTTTTCACAGTGTTAGATGGTGAAAACTGACTAGACCAGGGAGCTGATTGATTTTCAAGAAATTTTCTATCCAAAGCAGAATTTTAAAACAGCAGAGACTTTCAAAGAAGTACCTAAATCCTTTTTATCCAAATAATATATAGGGTTCATTGCCATGTTCCAGAAGTAGAATGGTGGTAATTTTCTTGTCTTAGATTTTGCTTGTATTTTAGAGGAAAGCATAGTTTCTGCTGTTGGGGCAAAATTAAAGTGGGATTCATAAATGGCATCAAAAAGAGAAGAAAAATCTGAAGTATAAATAACAAGTTGTCTACCTCTTCATGTAAAGTTAATGTTTGTAATATGTTTCCTTTTGTGAAAGCATGTCTGGAAAAGAATTTGAGCACTAACAAAAGTTTTTGGACTATGCTTCTCTTTAATGTTAAAAATTAAAAGCCTCACATTCTATTTCTTATTTTTACAGCATTGTCAATTCAGCCTAATGATGCCTTGATGTATAAATTTAGAGCTGATATTCGTGGTAAATTGGGTTTCATGAAAGAGGCTTTAGAAGACTACAAACAAGCAATCAGCATTCAAGAACAGATTGATTCCATGTGAAAAGATACCAGTTCCCATACCACCTGTGGTTTTTTTTTTACAGATTTCTCAGACCTCTAATTAAAAAAGAAGTCCAATGTGCAAGAAAAATTTATCTTATCTTAATTTTTATATATTCTACACACATTTTATTCTCCTAAATAATGTAATTACCTCAACTGTGTAAAACTAGCCAAAGTTATTTAATAATAGAATGCCACATTTAAGTTTTATGAGTTCTAGGTTGTTCCTTATTTGTTAGTGTCAAGAGATAACTGATTGTGTTGTGTGCAAAATGAAGGATATAGAAGAGGAATTTATAGGCAAAAGACCTCAGCCATATTGGTTATAGAAGGATGAAAGAGACTATACTCCACCTTCCTCCCCAAATATAAATGCTTACAGTGATGCTAATTATATGTCACCTGGACCATTTGGGAAGTAAAAATTCTAAGATGGCTACCAAATGCTTGTGACTGCTAACTAGGTCTCGTGTTCTTCTTGATCTTTCTTCTATACCTTTCATATGGTAGGGGAAAGCATTGTGCAAAGTCTATCTGTTGCACTGTGTAAGAATTACATTGAGAACTGAAAGTTGAGAAGGACATGATTCAATTTGTGAGTAAAAAGTTGAGGTTACTTGCTTCCACTGTGCCAGCTTGAAGATGCAGGTAAGAATGCATAAATAATAGAACATAGTTTTGTGTTCTGAACTGTAAGAATGGGCTTAAGAACAGGCTCTCACCTAAATATGGAGATTGAAATGTGAACCTGTGTGACCAAAATTTAAAAATTGTCAGGCCCTACCCATGTATTAAATTAAACCCCCAGGTCTGGCATAGTGTGGTGAAGATAGCAAAAAGATGAAGCAAACCAGATGTCTTTGTCTCAGAAAAGAGAAAAAGGAGGAATCTTAAGGTCTTATTCAGTATGCAAGCAGTCCTGTGGTTTGAGACAGTGGGAAGATTTCTAAAGGCACAAATGGTACATCAGTGCATAGTCCTAGTGGTATAGGAATTGTGTATGTAATTTCAATTTAGTTTAGATGTAAAATGCTATCAATTTTCCTCTTGAAAAAGGGCAAAAGGAAAAGGTGAGAGGGACCTTCATAAAACTAGACCTAACATGCTGGTATGTGCTTATAGTTACCGAATGTTCTGTATGTGTTTCTATTAGTTTCTAGATAGCAGAAACTAATCCAGAATAGAATCGGAGTTAAATAATCTAATTTATATAAATTTAGTATTAACCAATTACACTGGTCCATTTAACTGTATAACTTTTTTGGTACTCCTAGAGTGAAGTGACTTTTTAGTTTATATGCTATTGGGAAGAAATAAAAAAATGTTCTCATTGCTTTGTCTCAAAGAATTGCACTGTATTTTCTCTGAGTACTTAACACATTGCTATACGTTATTTCTATAAAATATCTGTTCTTGCATATCTATGCAGTATATGTTTAGCCAATGTGATAGACAATGACTGGAATTTCAGCTTTGTTCTGGTGTCTACATTTTTGCATTTGTAATGCCACATTACATTGCAAAAATTCCTGTACTTGTCATCTTATGATATTTGGGCTGAAAAAGAAGTACAGTGGAAAGGAGATTCAGAGTATCACAGCTAAAAGCAGTTAACTCAGTAAAGCATTTGACTCCATCCTCACTCTCCTTGATTATCCCCTTCTCTTGTTTAATATCTAGCATAATGAGACTTTGCGCTTGCAAGATCTATGATGATAAGGTTGACTGCAATAGATGCATCATAGTTAATGTATGTAAGTTAGAACAAGTTCGGAAAAATTCTATCTTTAATTTTTGTTTATTCATGATTAGTGTCTCTGTTTAAAAATGAATGTTTATAGACATAAACAATAAATTAAAATATTTCTAGACCTTTTAGGGTGTTGTATATTAATACTTATATTAGTATTATACATATGTATATTATACATATACATAAATATATACATATTATACATTATATATTTATTAGTAGAAATCTATTTGGAATTACAGTTTTTCTTAAAATTAAATTAAAATTTGTGACCATGGGATGATCAAAAAGTCAGGGAGAAATTCTTTGTGACTATTACAGAATTCAAGAATCAAAGTAACTATGTCAGGTTTGTATTAGACCATTGTAGCTACAAGTTTTTGTGAAGAGTTTTACTCTTCAGAGGTTTTGCATTTTTGTCTTTAACTGTTGATTGTTATGTTACTAAAACAAAGTTTCATAGAATCATTTTGGTTGGACAAGACCTTTAAGGTCATTGAGTTCAGCCATAAACCTAACACCGCCAAGTCCGCCACTAAACCGTGTCCCACATCCAACATGTCTTTTAAATACCTCCAGGGATGGTGACTCTACCACTTCCTTGGGCAGCCTGTTCCAGTGCTTGACAACCCTTTTAGTGAAGAAATGTTCCTGATATCCAATTTAAACCTCCCTTGGTGCAACCTGAGGCCATTTTGTCTCATCCTATTGTTTGTGATGTCCAAGGTGATTGAATAATTATTTACTGCTTTTTCCTGCTTTTTCTTTTTTTCTTATTTATTTACCTTATTTATTTTGTGGTATTGTCACCTATTCAAGTAGATCAAGTGTGATGTAGGAAGTATAAATATACGTGTGTCTGTATTTCCATGCATGATTCTCATGGTCGTTGATTGGGAATTATTTACCTGGTTTCTTGTATGCACACAAAGTTGAAGTTTGCTTGCAAGATGGGTTTGATGGTATTTTTGTTTCCTTTCTCCCTTTCCACATGCCTCTTTCAGGGCTCCTTTTATTATCTGAAGTATTGTTTATTGATGAAATTGCTAAATTATGCATGATTCTATGGCCTTTTCCTTTCTTTGACCTCCTTATGAAATACATACTGATGGGTTGTGAGATAGTGGTACCCTCATCATGTATAGTGCATCATCAAACTTAAATCAGAGTGAAAAAAGGTCAAACCTTTCCCTTGGATCCTTTTCTTGTGATATTCACTGTAGATTTTCTTTAGTTTAAACTCTCTTGAATGTCAAACACTTAAACACTGAAGAAATAAATACTTAAAAGATTTTTATCTTCACATTTAAAACTGAAACCAAATACCATCTTAAGACTCACTATTGATGATAAAGTGACTTGACTTAAATAATATGCACTATTGTAATCTCTCTTTTGCTTGTAATTTTTTTGTTCTGGATGATGTGGGTCTATTTCTTTAATCCTTAAAATCTGTATGTTTATTAATTGGCTGCATGGAGTTGAATTTTTAGAGTTTTTCATCTTTTACACAATGCTTAGGAAATGGATGCTGTCCCACTGTATTTCCAGTTTCATCATTTAGCATCACTCTGATTCACAATTCAGAGATCATGTTAGATGCTTTTTAAAGAAAATGTTAAGTGGGTGGAGAATTTATATGCACAATAGAGCATGAAAATTTAAATTTGCATGATCAAAACTTATTGCTTTCTTTGAAAAATAGCTTAGCTCCTTTTTTACTTCAAACCTTTCTCTTAAATTCCCTTTCGGACCTAAAAGAAATTTTATATTTTCTACAAGTTTTTAAAAGTAGATGGAAATATTCTAGCCTTTCTTTTATGTCTTTTATTTTTTTAATTAATAGTTGTTAGTGACTCTGCGAACCACTGTTCCACTAATAAATTGCAATTGTGTTTTGCACGATGAATAGTAGCACTTGAACTTCCCTGCTGGTAGGGGTTGTGGTAGATTTGTGGCATTCTGAATTTTGCCCAACCCAGTAGAGGACAGATGTTAAACTCTGAGGTCACTTCCATTGCTAATAATAGATCCAGTAGGGGTTATCAAAGTGATTTTGTGTCACAAATGCAGTTCAAGAGAAGCTCTTGTTCCTTGCAATGTGATGATATTAGTTCTTTCTGGATTTTACATATGGTAATCTGAGCTTAGGTTTTTTTTCTGCATTTATTTCCTTTCATTCTCTTTTTCTAGAAAATCTGTTTGATAGACTGTAGTTTAAAAAAAAACAAACACAGAGTTACTGAAGAACCACAGGTGCATTCAGGTTTTTCCTCCCTCTTTAAAATACTGATAATACATGCATTACTGTGGAAGAGGTAGTAATGTTTGCTTAATAGAGAATGCAGCAGATGACTTGGGAGGAAGTAATAAAAAAAAGGACAAAAAGCAAATATTTCTGTTTGAAGCCCAATAAGGGAATAGGAAGTTATGAGTAATCTTTCATGGAATAGTAAGTTACATAGATACATCTATCAACTGAATATTAAAGCATTTTCTTTCAATATTTTATAATTTTGGATGGGATACACCACCAAAATGATGATGAAGCGAGTCTTTTGTTACCTCCCCTGGAAAGCAAAGGAAAGTGATACTTCTTGAAACAAAGCGGGAAACTAGTTTATTTATAAGTTTGGGGAAGTTGTTTTGGTTTTTGCAGTTGTTTTGCAGCAGACCTTTGTCTGAAGTTATTGATCAGGCCTTAGTTTTTATCAGACTAAATCTAATTTACTTACAACTCGGGTCAGGAAAACATTTGCATAGCAGTGGCAGTGAAATGGGTAGCCTCTGAGAGAAAAGTAAGGGGCTCAGATTTTGCAGTTTGTTATTTCACAATGTATAAATGGCAAATGTCATTGATTTTCCCATGTCTTCAGGATCTCCACCTTTGTAAAATAAGTAAATAAAACTTACTTTAAAATAATCCTTTAAAATCATTGCTGAAAAATATTTAGATTCACCTTAGAGTTAATATGAACAAGATGTATATAGCAGTTTGTAGCTTACAGAGAAAGGCAATAGTAAAGAAAATTTAAATTAAAATTATAAACTTCAATGACAGTAAATAAACTAGAACAAAAGCAAATGAAAAAGTCATGCTCTCAGCTGAACTTCAGTGTCAGCTGCTTCTCTGAGTTTGGATGGTTTGGGTGTGAGTTGGATTGTTTTTTGTTGAGAAGCAGGACTTCGGGACAGGATACCTGATAAAAAATACAAGTCCTTCCCAACTGGCTATATATACCAGA